AGGGGTATCCGGATGCCGTCCCCCCCCCCCCAACCCCGATCCTGCCATTCCCTGCACTCCCTCACCAGAACACAGCGTGGGAAGTCCGAGCAGAGGGAAGAGCACTCTCTTGATGGGAATTTTACAGAGAACGCAGAATGGGGAATGATAGGATTTCAAGGCATTCTGGTTCGTCACTGATTGCAGGAATGAGTTTTGGCAGACTCCCAAAGGCCACAATATACCACCTCTGTTTTAGTGATTAATGAAGTATATTGCCACCATGGGGCTATTTTCTTTGAGAAGGGACTCTGGAAGTGGCAACGGGATTTACACATTGTTGAACAAGAAAAACAAAACAGTCCCAATAGGAGAGAGCTTTTAATTAGATGCATACGTGATGTTTTTTCTCAGAGATAATTTTAGGAGATTCCATTATAAACTATGAAGTTAGACAAAGACTGCAATTCACAATCCATGTCATATAGGGGGCGGAAAATCCTCTGGTACAGTTTATAACATTTACTGTCTATATATACAGTACATTACCATTCAAAAATTGGGGATGGTAAGATTTTTTACAAAAAGTTTTTGATAGAAGTCTCATGCTCACTAAAGTTGCATTTATTTGATAAAATTCAGTAAAAACAGGTAGATTGTGAAATACTATTACAATTTAACATAGCTCAAGAAACATTTGTTATTATTATTATTATCAATGTTAAAAACAGTTGTGTAGCTTCATATTTTGTGGAAACCATGATACATTTTTTTCAGGATTCTTTGATGAATAGAAAGTACAAGATAACTGTTTTTTTTGTGACATTGTAAATGCCTTTACTGTCACGTTGATCAATTGAACGTGTCCTTGCTGAATAAAAGTATTAATTTCTTTAAAAAAAAAAGCTGGGGGTCACTGTTGGCCCTTAGGAAGTTTAGTGTTTAGAACCCTGTTGTGATGGGAATGATGGAGAAGCCCTTCCTTTTCTTGCTCACAGTTACAGAGGTATTGTCCTGGTGACAGACAGACTGCCGTCACCTCGCCCCGTTCAGGAAATGTGTCTCTGTGACTAAGAAGCAGGAAAAAGAGCGCACAGATGACACACAGCCCAACCATCTCCACCAAGAATCTTATCATACTTAGCCTAACCTTACTGGAATTATGTATAGACCTATAGGAAATCATGCTATAGGAAGAAGAATGCAATACTTGGCAGGCGAACCATTGGCATTGTTATTTCTGTGCATTTTTATTTATTAGTAGCAGTCGCTACAATATACAGGCATGTACTTGTACAAATGCAATCATGACTCTGAAAAGGTGCTATATATAAATATATAGATCTTTATTTATGCTTGGTTAATATTAAAATACAATTATAATACAAAAAAATGTATGTAGAAAATATCAGTGCATACAATTCTACTTCACAAATACCAGTCAGTCAAAATAACAACATTATTGAAAGCATCATTTGGCAGTATATACATTTCATTATTTGGAAGACAGTTCCTCAGCTATGAATGTAGTACTTGGACTTGAAACAATAATTAGCAATAACGGGCCTAATTGCTTTTACAACTGTCAGATCTGATTTAACCAATACAATGATTTCCCACCTGTTCCATATTAAGGAGTTAATACTGATAGCACCTGAGTTGAGCGGAGCCGCCCCCCCCCCCCCAACCCCGATCCTGCCATTCCCTGCACTCCCTCACCAGAACACAGCGTGGGAAGTCCGAGCAGAGGGAAGAGCACTCTCTTGATGGGAATTTTACAGAGAACGCAGAATGGGGAATGATAGGATTTCAAGGCATTCTGGTTCGTCACTGATTGCAGGAATGAGTTTTGGCAGACTCCCAAAGGCCACAATATACCACCTCTGTTTTAGTGATTAATGAAGTATATTGCCACCATGGGGCTATTTTCTTTGAGAAGGGACTCTGGAAGTGGCAACGGGATTTACACATTGTTGAACAAGAAAAACAAAACAGTCCCAATAGGAGAGAGCTTTTAATTAGATGCATACGTGATGTTTTTTCTCAGAGATAATTTTAGGAGATTCCATTATAAACTATGAAGTTAGACAAAGACTGCAATTCACAATCCATGTCATATAGGGGGCGGAAAATCCTCTGGTACAGTTTATAACATTTACTGTCTATATATACAGTACATTACCATTCAAAAATTGGGGATGGTAAGATTTTTTACAAAAAGTTTTTGATAGAAGTCTCATGCTCACTAAAGTTGCATTTATTTGATAAAATTCAGTAAAAACAGGTAGATTGTGAAATACTATTACAATTTAACATAGCTCAAGAAACATTTGTTATTATTATTATTATCAATGTTAAAAACAGTTGTGTAGCTTCATATTTTGTGGAAACCATGATACATTTTTTTCAGGATTCTTTGATGAATAGAAAGTACAAAATAACTGTTTTTTTTGTGACATTGTAAATGCCTTTACTGTCACGTTGATCAATTGAACGTGTCCTTGCTGAATAAAAGTATTAATTTCTTTAAAAAAAAAGCTGGGGGTCACTGTTGGCCCTTAGGAAGTTTAGTGTTTAGAACCCTGTTGTGATGGGAATGATGGAGAAGCCCTTCCTTTTCTTGCTCACAGTTACAGAGGTATTGTCCTGGTGACAGACAGACTGCCGTCACCTCGCCCCGTTCAGGAAATGTGTCTCTGTGACTAAGAAGCAGGAAAAAGAGCGCACAGATGACACACAGCCCAACCATCTCCACCAAGAATCTTATCATACTTAGCCTAACCTTACTGGAATTATGTATAGACCTATAGGAAATCATGCTATAGGAAGAAGAATGCAATACTTGGCAGGCGAACCATTGGCATTGTTATTTCTGTGCATTTTTATTTATTAGTAGCAGTCGCTACAATATACAGGCATGTACTTGTACAAATGCAATCATGACTCTGAAAAGGTGCTATATATAAATATATAGATCTTTATTTATGCTTGGTTAATATTAAAATACAATTATAATACAAAAAAATGTATGTAGAAAATATCAGTGCATACAATTCTACTTCACAAATACCAGTCAGTCAAAATAACAACATTATTGAAAGCATCATTTGGCAGTATATACATTTCATTATTTGGAAGACAGTTCCTCAGCTATGAATGTAGTACTTGGACTTGAAACAATAATTAGCAATAACGGGCCTAATTGCTTTTACAACTGTCAGATCTGATTTAACCAATACAATGATTTCCCACCTGTTCCATATTAAGGAGTTAATACTGATAGCACCTACATGTGTGCACATGCTTTTACTATAATTATCATGACCATTTATATAGTGACCAGCCTGTTGACAATATTATAGCCTGCCCTGCAACCTTTAGTAGTATTTTAGCATAAAAGACTGAATCAGTAACAGAATGTGTTCCTCTGGTTAATAGCTGCACAACATATTACGTGCTGTTATGTATACAGTAGTATAAACAACATAAATATGGAAAGTACACAACGCAGTGTAACTATTGTTGAACAGAGAAAGGCTGTTTAATTGTGGTCCAAATTTGATCAATAATTAACAGAATGTTTCCTATTAAATGTGCATGAATAATTTACTTGCTAAGGCTTTTGAAACCTTTTTCACAGTGACAGACTGGATGTTAGGCACCCATAAGCCATTCTGTCCTGCCATATGTAAGCAGTCCAAGATGTTAAGCTTGGCTAATTCCTTTAAAATGATCCAGATTAAAAGCTATGATGATAAAAAATACTATATGCGGGAGCAAAAGTGATTCATTTTAGCTTCAATGAGCAAGACTCAGGAAAGCGGCCCTCAGACTGGCGTGAAAGAACCTGGAAACACAATGTGCATCCTTTGTGTTGATGATCAATGTGTCCTGCAATTTCTGGGAAGGAATTTCAGACCACACATTCAATTATTCATGATCTGTGGTCTTTGTTTGACAGTTTGTCTGACAGAGTAAAATATGAGTGAAATTTATTCTAAAGAAAAATATTTTCCTAAAAAAAAAAAGGGCTTTAGTGAGCTCCGAAATAATTTTAGCAAAATAAAAATAAAATATCATATAACCAAAATTCCAGTTTTCATTACAATAAAATATTTATCTAGAATAAAATAAGAATTGCCTTTGTCCTCATTCTAACCGCCGAACAAATGATTTCATAATTAGCCACCATTCTGTATGAAAAATGCCATTTCACTGGGAAAAACAGTGCTGTTACTGTAATAAAATGTGCTTGTTGTGTTCACAGTAGACAGCAGGAATATCTGAGGTGGTCCATATTTATGATATAAGTGGCAGCCCACTGTATTCACACACTACCTTGAAAAAGTGCACAGAAAGAGAAAATGTGAAACTCAGAATGGCCATTCCAGTATCAGGATAAAGTGGAATGGAAAGAAGTGGGGGAAAATATAAAACAGATCTAATGTGCAGAGACAAAATGGACGCAACCAATCAGATCCTCCAAAACTGAGTGAGACTTCTGGCGACTAAAGAGTGGAGATCAACTCAGACGGGTGGTGTGGAGTAACGGACCACATAGTTATAGTCTGGAGGTGGGCTATGACATTCCAGCTCCGGGTCGAGAGAGGAGTCCTCCAGACTCAAGTCCAATGAGGGAACAAGTAGTGGGTGTTTCTCCTTTTCGCCCTCCAGCAGAACTGACTCCTTACTTTTGCTCTTCATCCTGTGGAAGGAGCAAACAGATTTGAATGAATCCAAATTGAAATAGTATTATTTTGTTGTACTTTGCTCTGTGTGTTGCCATGAGTTTCAATAACTCTTCATCTGGGGCCAACGGGTCAGACACCCCGGAGGGTGTCTGAGAGTTTGCATTGCTTTTAGTCTACAGGGGCGATAATTTGCAGTAAATACCGATGCATTGGCATGTATTGGGACCTGTACACAGTGTGAAGCACAGCTGTCAGTGCCAAGCACTTCACATACGTGCATACTAAATGTGGGAGTACCAGGTGGAATCCAGAGGCACAATGTGGAGGGAGACTCTTGGACGTAGCAGTAAAGCTGTAGAAGGTCAAAGGTGACAGTGATTGAGTGGGTCCTCGGCAGGGGTCCTCTTAACAATATATACATCATTCTCTACATGCTCCGGAGTGGCTTTTTTTCCCATGTCTGTGACCATGGCAATCTGGATTTGCCAGTTGGTTGCAGGCTGTGCCCAGCTTTTCATCATATCGGGTTGGGATGAGGAGGGCACTGGACATGGAAGACGGGGGAGTGCTGACCGAGTGTTTTTAATCAAAACCTGTTGATTACGTTCATTTGTAATAAAACTTGGCTCATCAATCACAGCAGTAGAAGAATTTAAAAATGCCAGTGTGGTGTGGTGTTATTAAAACTTATTACACAGCTCTCTAGAACTCTTGAATCTGATTGGTTGATCTCAGCATTCGGTGGTCAGATGTTTGGCGCTACTTTCGTGTGTCTTGTATAAAGCTGTGGACTCGCTCACATCTCATGTTTTTGATTACAGTTAAAATGACCTCAGAGGGCTTTAGTACTAATATTACTGTAATGTTGTTGTGTAATCTTGTTGCTTGGCTTGCTGTTTTGCATGCTGTAGTGACTTTTTTTCTTATAAATTAATTGCTCCATGTTGGGGATTATTTTTTGATAATGACAAGTTGACTTCAGAAAATACTTTGTCTATATACTACTGTTCAAGAGTTTGGGGTTGATAAGATTTATGAAAGAAGTTTCTTATGCTCACCAAGGCTGCATTTATTTGATCAAAAATACAGTAAAGACAGCTATATAGACAGCTGTTTATTGTGAAATGATATTAAAATGTAAAATATCTATTTTAAAATATATTTTTAAACTATTTTAGAATATTTTGCAATGTAATCTATTGTGGTAATGGTAAAGCTTAATTTTCATTAATTTATTGGATTTGGCAGTGGCCATTACTGCATTTTATGTAAATATAAATGTCTTTACTGTCACTTTTGAGCAGTTTTATGCGTCTTTGCTGAATTTAAATATTAAATATTCATTTCTTTTCTTTTTTTAATTGTGCCAACCCCAAACATTTGAGTAGAAGTATAGATTTTTTTCTATTTTACAAGACACATTATATGCTTAAATAAGATCATTGTATAGATGATGAACATATAATATAGCTCTGGCATTTTGGTGTAACCACTGTTGTACTCAGATGCCCTTATCTAATGCCAATCACATATTTAGACTGGACACTTCTAAGGTCTGAGTCATAAACCTCCAATCAGTAAGAGATTATCACTATTTGTCTAGCTGCAATTGGTGGTACAAACTGCTGCCCTCAAATATTAGGATTCTGTATAGTCCACAAGGCTTTAAATGCAATTTAGAGGATAACCTTTGTAGATTAGCCCTGGCCTTTGCTGGTCTGGAAGACCATAAACGCCGTCTCAGATCTCAAACGCTTTAACAAAACCAAGGCTAATCCACCCCAATGGCCTGCCATTAATAACTTAAAAGGCCACCTTCACTGAAACTGACCATGTTTTTAAGGAGATCCAGTTTTTTTTTATTAGTCATTAAATATTAAGTTTTAGTCACAGCTTACATTCTGTAGCAAAAATACTAGAACCCTAAATGGAATATATTGCGATCACTAACAATAATAAACTCTCATTCTATCAAATACTTCCTAAAATAAAATAAATGCATGTTATTGTATGAGATGGCCATGTGCCATATCTGTAGCCGTGCTGTTTCAGCGATGGACTCAGAGGCCATTACAACCCAGGCGGTACAAACAAAGATGCAAGTCACCAGACCTTACAACCAGCTTTAACTAGTCACACACCCAGCCTGGCTGTTGAGATTGTCACCTTAGGCAATATCTCTCTGCTGTGCCATTGTCTGAGAGACTCTCGCGCAGGCACGTCTCTCAAAGAAAAGGGGTAGTGGCTGGAGTCGTGTGGAGATGGGGGAGGGGGGGTGAACTGTATGACTATTGTGGCAATTACATTCCAGTCCAGTGGGAGGGTCTCCAGGGCATATGCCAGCAGACCAACCCATTCCTGTGGTCCTGGATGTGGCCAGGCAAAAGGTCTTAACAGGAGTGAATGTACTATACTCACGCTCGGGCCATTAAACTCCGGGGTCTGGCCAGTGACTCCAGACACTTCAGTGTCTTCAGGTCATCTGAAGATAGAGCTATTCCGCTATCTGACTGCCCTTCCTGTGAACAACCAAAATTGACTTAACCATAGACACAATATATTTGCATTATGTGCTTTTTCTTATGAGGGGGAGAGTGAGAAAAACAGGCTCTTCACCTCATCGATCTTGTTGGTTCCATTCTCCACGATTACTTCATCGAAGGTCTTCACACTCGCTGGGCGGATCTTGATGTTCCTGAAAGCATCAAATACTCCATATCAGATCAGTGTGGAAGGTTTCTCATGACATCATGTCTGGCAGATCCAAACAAATACATGAAACACATTTTGGTATCACAGTTTCCAAGTAAACATTCAATACTATGTTGGATAAAATATTTTTTAATTTAATTTTGCGCAGTAGGGTAAAGCAATAGCTCTTAAATTCAGCTTAAGGGATAACAGGGATTGCAGCATTTCGATACTATTCTCTACAAATATACTAGAAGGACCTGTAATGCAAGGGTTGGATAAATATTATCTTAAGTAGGCATAAATCCTGAAACTGCATTTGTGGCAAAAGAGGAAATTCCTTGAGGGGCCCTTAATGCTACAAGGAACGTTTCTTATCAAGAACCAATTAGTGCTTTCCTTCACTTTTAGAGCATTCAACTCAAGGCCGTTGGGATGAAGTGTAGTGCATGTTTGAAACAGGAAAATATATGGAAACCAGAAAATAGGTAGTACAACTTTATCTACAAAAAGCAAATTTCTAAAACGCTTTAAATAGTCCTCATGAATAATGGATTTTTAACAACTAAAGTACAAATACAAATCAGTCTGAGCCTATATCCGTTATACAGATATGATAAATCTTACCAAGCCATCCCAGAGTCTCTAAGAGAGGCAGGTCTGATGGAGGTCTCCTCTGTGGGGCTCATGTTTGAGGGGTCTGCTTTGGTCAATAGGGCTGTGTTGATTGGGATGTAGTGCTTTCCCTCCTGAGAGAGACAAAGTGTTTAAACACTCAGCTCATTTTAAAACTGTGACATCACCCTGCACATGGTTTTATAGGATTCTGGAGGAATCTGTACATAAATCTGCAAGGGAATGTGTGAATATTTTTTGTGGAGATGATGTTATTTGGGGCAGTCTGGGCAGTACACTAAGCTTGATTCCTTATGTGAGAAAGAGGGAGTTTGGATGACTTCCAATTCTGATGGCTTGGAATATGTTTTGATCTCTATGCTGTGTAGTGTAGTCTTTTACTGAGACCATATCTTCTCTTCAAGCCATATTATAAATCAGATTAATCCCTTTCTTTCTTCTTGACCTAAGAAAAATGTATCAGGACATACTGCACCATCAAATGTTTAACACAAATTGTAGATTTTTACCTACTTTTCTCTTGTTTGGATATCTAAGGATTTGTGTATGTAAATACATTTTTATGTCTATGCCTGTATTTGCTGTAGCATACTGTACCCTACTGTTCAAACATTTGGGGTCAAGATTTTTTTGAAATAAATTCTTTTTTTTTTTCAGCAAGGATGCATTAAATTGAATAAATACAATATTACAAAATATTTGTTTCAAATAAATATTAATCAAAGAATCCTGAAAACAAATTATCAAAATATGAAGCCGCACAACTGTTTTCAATATTGATAACAATAATCAGCATATGAGAATGATTTCTGAAGGATCATGTGACACTGAAGTACACTGTGACACTGGAGTAATGACTGCTGAAAATTCAGCGATGACAGGAATAACGACTATTAATATTCCTACTAAAATATATTCAAATAGAAAACTGTTATTTGAAATTTTAATAATATTTCACAATATTATTGTTTTTACTGCATTTTTGATCAAATAAAAGCAGCCTTGGTGAGCAGACTTTTTTCAAAATATAAAAAAATCTTACCAAGCCCAAAGTTTTGAATGTGTACACATGTATTTCTCTTCATGAGTGACTTTGCTTGTCTTAAATTTTCTTTAGTCACTCCAAACTCACTTTAAATCTTTCCATTCATCACATTTATAAAATATTCACCTTTCACCTACGATTAGTTGTTAAACACAGTTTGCAGTGATAGGCTAACATGGTTTTGCCTGTGTAATGGTAGTGCATCTTTCATCCCATAAAAGTTTTGTGGTTTTGCTGTGGTCAGAGTTTAAACAGTAAACGTTTAAATAAAGACTGTGGGAAAGACATGAAATGTAATGAAGTGAATGAGACTCTCTTACCTGCTGTACACTAGCTTGTAGCAGATCTCCTAGCCTCTCTACCAGCTCTGTGAAAGTGGGCCTCTTGCATGGTTCTCCATGCCAGCAGTCTAACATGGTTTGATATCTATGGACAGAAACATGCATACATTAAAGAACTTCTTTTGAACATACAGAGTGATTAATAGACCATAATCATAAATTGCAATTCTTCTGCAGCTACACAAATCCTCATGAATTACACCCTGTGCCTTGACCTCTAGATTACTCTGCAAATCCGGCTTATCCAATTATTTACAGTCATCAATAATATTTGATGCGTGACACAAGGAGTGAGGCTGAGTGTTTTCATTGCACCGTTCTCAGGGTGAGAGTTTGTGTTGAGAGGAGCTTACTCCTGATTTACACAAGCTGTCAGCATCTCTCCCCACAAGGGACGGCTGGGGTCCTTTATTGGCCTGTAATGGTTGCGTTTATCTTAAGGCTAAGTTTCAGTTGTGAAACACTGGGGTGTCAATGCACCGAGCAGGCATTCAAGTAAATGATCACCGACGATGATTGAGCTGTATCCTGTTTATACTATGGTGTTGTCCTTATATAAATAAAGCCTGTTACCCCATGAAACTCTCTGATCCCGTCTGATTAGCACAACACTGGGCAATTTGGAGGATGGAAAAAATACTGTACTAGCTGATGACTCATTACTTCCTTACACTAATCAACTAATATATCCATCTGGGTTTGAATATGTTAGTGATCAGAGAGGAGGTATTCTTCTCATGGGCTGTGAAGGAGATTAGCAGGAGGAAGCAGGACTTCTAAAATGGTTATTTTAATGAATCCAGATGGAGCTCTCCTTAAACTAACAGGAAGTCCAGAAAAACGGCAAATGGTGGTTCCTCTGAAATCAACGATAAACCAGGATGTTCTATATCCTCTCAAATTGTGCTCCCACTTATGGAAATGTAAATGGAAAATACATTAATGACAGCCAATGGCGTTTAGTTCAGTGTATTGAATAATTATGAGCCTGTGGGACAGAGGGAATCAGTTTATCATTAAATGGGTGAATCAGTCTAGACAGATGAGATTCTACCCGGTCAAATCCCTGTTTTCTGAGCTTTCTTCTCATCACTCACAATACAGTGTAGGTTTGGTCAGGGTCAGAAATAAAGTAGTGTTTATCCCTGAGGACAGCATATAACTTAAAATTATCTGCTCTCTTGAAGAACAGTGTTATCAGTGCTACAGTTGATACAGTATATTAAATTGACCCTTATCTGCAATGCTAGTTGACAAGTTCTTTGAAGCTGAATGGAAACACTTTTGGGTTTTGAGGACTTGTCACCAGAAAGGATGTATTTATGAGGGCCAGATTTAATTCAGGTCTGAGGTCTGTACTGCATTTTGTAGGTCATCTCCAATCACAATCTTTCATGACCTCTTGTTATTTTCAATTGCAAATGTGAGACAACTCGCATTACATGCAATGTTTTAAACATAAGTGCTTGAGACAGTGGGTATGATATAGTTATAGAATATCAGCTATGAATTACCATCCTGAACGAGCCCATAGTTTTGAAACGAAGATTGAGTAGAGCACTTCGTAGACAGCAGTAGGGGGTTGTTATTGAGAACAGGCAGTGAATATTCTCTCTCAAACTGAGGCGATTCAGTTCTCCACACCCATTTAAAAGCAACACTAATCTGAAGTTGTCCACTTCATTTCCTTTCCACATTTAAAACTGATACCATGACCCCTTCTCTCATATCTCGTTACATCTGAAAACTTTCAGATTTTGGTTTGGCTTGCTCTCTAACCCTGTAACCACAATGGGAGTATCTTGCCAGTGGGTTTCTCTGTCTGATGCCCAGGGGCCCTGCCACTGTGTTTGGCCACCCCATGCTGCCTAGGTAGACTGAAGCCTTTAATGTGAGCTTGAATTTCAGCTGGATTGGTGTAAGTCAGTAATGGATCCCTAGCACACATCAACTGCACTATAAACTAGCTACCAATCAGAAGCTGCTCCTTTCCTTTTGCTCAGCGAATAATTGATCTGTTTCCATTTAAGGCTTGTGTCGAGGCAAAAAAAAAAAAGATATTTCTGCTCATTTCAACTGTATCGATAGGAGAGGATTTTCTTTCCCCAGAGTGCAGATTTCAGTTAATAACCCTAAAGAGATTTGTAGGGGTTACAGAGAGGGGTGAGGTTTGATTTGGGTTTACTTCAAGTTTGTTTAAAAGTCCTGGGATAAGACAGAAGGAACTTACTTAGAGACATTTCAAAAAATACATACCTTAAAGATTTTTCATGTATACATTTGGGTACAATGGCAAGTGGCAAGTGGCATATTTGCATGTACAATAGGACACAGGCATGCAAATATATAATGTAATGTATATTTTTTATATTGTTATACTTTTATACAAATAATGTTTTCTTACAACATAATGAGTAACAGGGTTTCAGGTTGATACTGGTGTATGCTATCAATATACTATAATTTATGTAAATAAAAATAGGTTTTTCTACAATAAATTAAATATTAACTCAACATCTTGTGTGAAAATTATCACATTGCATGTTTGTTATTGTTGGAGACAGTCCAGGTGTGACAGGCATGTGTTTATGCTAGATTAATTTTCTGTTACATAATAGTTTATCTAACATATTAACATATTATCTAACACATTTCTCATCAAAAATAAATGATTTGTGACACTAATGCTTTAAAAAGTACTTAGTGCCTGCAATACTCAATATGGCAACTGTTACACAACAATTGCATGTATAGTTGACAAACTGCTTTCAAATCAGGACTGCCTGACATTAGTGACACAAGCAGAGTGACTCTTACATTTCAGAGGAGGAGTATTCAGGAGCTTTCATCCTGGTGCCCTCCTTTAGTCGGCAGCAGAATTCCTCATCAATGTGTAAGCCAGGGTAAGGGGAGGCACCTGGGGAGAAGAAAGAGAATAATGGGGTTATCAAGACTTTTCCATGAAATAGAGCTCTGGCCACTTCAAAGGGTCTGACAAGAAACTCACTAAACTATGATGTGGGTTGGGAGCACAGAGAGATCAATGGAAAGACCTCTGCACAATCAGCATCAGTGGGGCCTATCTGACTGTACTTGCAAAGTCTGTGCAAAGTTGTTTTCTCCAGAAACACTAAATTATTAAGACAGCGTGAATTTGCAGACTGTTGAGACTTTGGTGCACACTTGCAAAAACCATGATTCATGAAACAATATTTTCATTTACTTGACTGAAATCCTTTTAATAATATCTGATAACCACTAAAATATGCAGATCATAACAACGGATCTCAGAAAAGGTCAATCTTTCATTAAACTATGATCTAAACCCCCCTCTGACATAGATTAGGTAGTCATTAAAAACAAATACATTAACAGCACTTGAAAATCTCCTGCGACTTTGGGAATAGAGTGCAGTAGATGTGGAGTGCCTAGAAAAACAGGGACAAGAAATTCTATTCCACAATACAAAACATGAGAGTGTACTTTGTGTGCGGGTGGAAACTTTTCTCCCATGGACACTATCAAGTAGCAATAATAATTTTTCTAAACTTTTCGTGTTAGTCTATTTGACACCAACTTAAATCAGTGCAGCTCAGTGGTTGTGACAGCTCAGAGTCATCAGTTAAGATCCTATTCCTTCAATATCACTGATAATGGATTATTTATATTGCGTTTTCCTAAATGTTGCTTTATTTTAACATGCAAAATGAAGGCCTACTATTTTCCCACAGAGATAATTTGCATCCAGTGTGAATATAGGTTTGGGGGAATTTTACTGTGGTTTCTAGTTCATTCAACATGCAGTTAAAAGGCACATCTTTAAAATGCATTCATACGAGGGTGAAAAAGTCTGAAACCACTTTAATAATCTAGAATGTTAGTCATTTAAATATAAAATTTAGTGGTTACTTAGTATTGTGAAAAGCTTTGCATTGTGTTATGCTAAATTCTGCAACATTTTTTATTTCTACACTATTACTGGTTTGGGTCTCCTCTCCCTCGCCGGGCCCTTGGAATCATCCTAAAAAAATTTGTAATGAAAAAATTCTAAATACATACATATATGAATAGTCACATTAAAGTTGTTTGCTCAGAGCCTTTAATGACAAAGGTGCCAAAGCGACACTGTACAAACCATTAAAGGTTATAGTACATTTTCATTAAATGCTGCCTGGTAACTGTGGGTTTACATTTCCAGTTGGGAATGAAACCTGATCAAATGGAAGATGACTTCTCCTGTTTTACAACCTCTATTTATTATTAAAAAACACACAGTTGAAGTTCACAGATGTTGTTGCACTAGTGCAGGGGTAGGCAAGTTCAGTCCTAGAGAGCCGCAGTCCTGCAGAGTTCAGCTCCAACCCTAATCAAACACACCTGAATAAGCTAATCAATGTCTTCAGGATTACTAAGGCTATAGGCAGGTGAGTTTTTTTCAGGGTTGGAGCTGAACTCTGCAGGACTGTGGCTCTCTAGGACCGAACTTGCCTACCCTTGCACTAGTGGAATGAAAATTGTTTTTGTTTTTTTCAAGCTGACAATGCAATCCTTTTTTGTTCCCAAAGGAAATTTTAACAGCAGCTGACAGTTATTGCCCTCCACATCTGGAGGAGGTTGATAGCACAGGGCACCTCATGAGCAGCCTAGTTTGTGCCAGGTGTCTTTGATTGAGTACCCCCGAGTTCGTTTTATTTCCATTTGGATGAAGCACAGCATGTGCTGAGTTGCCTTCCTACTCCATGTGTTTAACTTTGAAATGGGTGCTGAATCCTGTCTGGGCTCTTTGCTTTGGTGTAAAACACACCGAACCAGAAAAGCAAACAAACAAAGTCTACGAGACCTCTCTATAGAAGCAAGGAAGGAAAAGCCGACACTTTGTTTCATGGAAAACATCAGAGCAGAAAACATTGTTCCAAGAACTGAACGGCTGAAATCATAAAAGCTTGAAATTATTCTTTGATCGTTTCATAATCAAATCTCCCCAAAATATCAAATCAAGATTGTTTGTGTTAACAGTCAATATAAAATAAAACATTAGAGAGTATTTTAAACTCTTTTAATTACTACAAGTTCCTGGAGTGTTGCAACAGTGCTGTGTGTGTCTCCAATGAATAGGTGAATAAAAGGAATGTGAGTTACGCTCTTAAGACAGCGATGGTATTTACCAAGAGAGAAGATCTCCCACATAAGCACTCCAAAAGACCACACATCACTCTGAGTGGTATAGATCTTGTCAAATATCGCCTCTGGAGCCATCCACTTTAAGGGAAGTCTGGCCTATAAAAAGATAAGCAGATCATGTTACTCTCACCTGTAAATGAACAACTCCCATTCAACAACGTGTAGCTTATAAAACGCTGTCTATTTGATTATACTATCTGTTGGACGTCTTGGCTCACACTTGACCACAAGAAAACATCCTTTGACCAGAATAATATTATCAGGGCTTATAAAATGACTAACAGCATGCCAAAGACTCTTGGCATTAACAGAAACATTTGATCTTTTTCCAGATTAATATTCACAGTTTCGGTGGTTTTTGGACCGTTATCATTTGCATCCATCACACTAAGTAGTTTTGAAACACTGCGTATTATACAGCCTGACTGCACCATGTATCCGTGACCGATATGAAGTAATTGGATAATCTTCCACACTTACGTCTCCTTTGCGGACGTAGTCTGGGTCCTTGTATACATCTCTTGCAAGTCCAAAATCGCAAATCTTTACTACGTTGTTTTCAGACAACAGGATGTTACGTGCGGCCAGATCACGGTGAATACACTTGTAGAAGTAAAAGAGAGATCCCATTACATTATGTTCTACCATACATCATCTATCAGTTTATTGTAATAGCAAGATATCATTTTATATTCTTTCTACTCTCAGTGTCTTGAGCAGGGAAAGGGAGTGTAGTGAAGATGCGTTTTGTGTCTTATTTGAACCATGTGTGGCATTACGCTGTCAGATGAAGCACATGATGGAAAGCTGTGATAATGTAAAACATATGGAATTGCCATCGGGGAAACTCTGACCTGAGGTGAGATTAAACCACATATGCTAAACCACATCTTTAGTATGTGGCAATTAATCTCATCTGCTGGATGTGTGTGAATGAGTGTGTTGGATCAATAAAGTAATTTGGGTTTTCATATTCTGGAGTTTTAGACAAAACTTCTCAAAGTGTTGCCAAAATACTGAGATTGATTATTATTTTAAAACATTACGAGCCAGAAAATTATTTAAAAAGGAAATTGGTATTACAATGGGTTGCCATTACAAACTAAGAATACAATGATTCATTGCAAGTGTGACTCTTACTTTTCTTGAAGCCAAGAACTCCATGCCTTTAGCCACTTGAAAGCTGTAGCAAATCAAGTCTTCTAGTGTGAGCACTTTCTTATACAAATCCTCTTGCTCTGCAAGAAAAGGGTAACAGGGTATTAGCTCATATGGAATTGCCATCGGGGAAACTCTGACCTGAGGTGAGATTAAACCACATATGCTAAACCGCATCTTTAGTATGTGGCAATTAATCTCATCTGCTGGATGTGTGTGAATGAGTGTGTTGGATCAATAAAGTAATTTGGGTTTTCATATTCTGGAGTTTTAGACAAAACTTCTCAAAGTGTTGCCAAAATACTGAGATTGATTATTAATTTAAAACATTACGAGCCAGAAAATTATTTAAAAAGGAAATTGGTATTACAATGGGTTGCCATTACAAACTAAGAATACAATGATTCATTGCAAGTGTGACTCTTACTTTTCTTGAAGCCAAGAACTCCATGCCTTTAGCCACTTGAAAGCTGTAGCAAATCAAGTCTTCTAGTGTGAGCACTTTCTTATACAAATCCTCTTGCTCTGCAAGAAAAGGGTAACAGGGTATTAGCTAAATCAAAACCATTGTTTTGTTATGCAAGTTTTGGCAGGCAAAAAAGGAACAGAATTTCCAAGAATCTCTTTTACTACAAATCTGTGCTGTCTACAAATCTGTAAAGTTTGGATCCTCTCTCAATCCCTTAATAAAGTTGTAATATTTTTGCCTTCATAATTCTCCTGTTTACTACAGACACATCCGACAGGGAGACACAATGAAACCTGACTTCTTTTTTTAGATGCAGACTGCGACGTGCACTTTGTCAATGATACTCAAGTGAGGGGCTTGTGGGTGGATCATCCACCTGAGTAAACAGTTTATCAAACCAGAAATAACCGTCATGGGACAGCACGACCCAATGTACCCGCAGCGGACTAGCTCTGGTCTTGGGGCAGGAAATTAGAAAAAGCCCTGCACGCAGTGGGTGACAGTGGCTTGTACAACATATCAGTTGTATTTATGAATCCCTGAGGAAGCCACCTATCAGATTAAGGGGGAAAAAACAATCAGCGGAGCCTTGAGAGCAGAGAGGGTGGGGTTGGAGGTGAGGGGTTGAGAGGGAGGAGGGGAGAAGGGAAGGAAGACACTCAGTTGCTACCTTCCTCCTCTTCCTCCGAGTCGCAGTAGCTCTTATCTTCAATGAAGCCGGAGCTGGCTGAACTTCCGGTGCTGGCCACGCTCTCCAACCTGCGCTTGATGAGCTCGCTCAGATCACACCCGGAGCTGGAACGCAGAGCCTTAACGTCCTGAGACTGTGGATATTATCAGCATACATTCCAGGTCAATATCATGCGTCATCATGGCAAATCACTGCTTAAATGAACAAGAGACTTTTCTGCTTACCTTGTATACCACAAAGTCACCCCTCCTACTTCTCAAGTAGTTGGAAAGATTTCCATACTTGCAGTATTCCACGATTATCATTAGCGGACCTGAGCGTACACCAAACAAATGTAAAAACAGAGAGGAAAAAGTTAAAAAAATGTTACAAATTTCTCGTATCACCATGGTTGAATTCTCTCCGTCAGCTTCCTCTAACCTCCTTGCTTTGTGCAGGCTCCGAGCAAATTGACCACGTTGAGATGATGACCAATATGGATCAGAATCTTCAGTTCAGACATTAAAGCTCTCCATTCGTTATTTGTAGCTCCCGCTGTTGAGTGGAGAGGAAGTTGGAGGAGAGGATAAGAGGAAAAATTAATTAATGGAATGTCTTACATGATCGGAAAGGACTTTTGTTTGGAATGTTAGGAAAATGTATGATTATGTGGTGATGGGCTCAAGCATGCTGTTGTATTTCAGGACTCCTGTCAAAAGGCTGACCTTTCAATTACTGTTACCATTGTTTCAAATGGATATAAGATGTTCTATCAATATCTTGACATAACTGTGGCTTGATATTTAAAATGCTAAACTGTTTTTTTAATTTTTTAGATTCTGTTAATCTATACATATATATTTTTACATCTATACATCTATCTATTAAATATGTTCCTGTGGCTCAGTGGTAGAGAATTGCGTTAGCAGTGCAAAAGGTCATGGGTTCGATTCCCAGGGAACACATATACAGGTAAAAAATGTATAACCTGAATACACTGTAAGTTGCTTTGGATAAAAGCGTCTGCTAAATGTGCAAATTATTAAATTATAAGTATTATTAAAATGTATTACATAAGTTATACATGTTATAACACCGTGTCCTAACTACACGCGACGCGACAAGATTCCAGCGACAAGCAATTTGGGTGTCCACACCAGACGCGACGTGACGTGACAGAATCAATCAAATATCGCAGCCAATCAGAAGTGTGTGTGGGCGGGCTCTCTCTGGAAGCACACTGCACTCGCAACGATATGGATACGTTTATAATATAATTCATAAATATTAAAGCTTTATAACATCATTAAATGTACATACTGAGTGACTGATAACATCTTTGTTATGGAATACATTCGTTGGTTCGCAGGGAGTTCACAGTTTTAACGGACATCTTTGCTTTAATTTATTTTTAAGATCTGAGGTAAACTATCTGTTGCTTTCAGTATGGCTATAAGGTCACACAAAATTATATTTAAACTCATCTTGGACACGTTTAACTTTGAATAAAGCACATAATCCCCTGAGATTATCTACTGTCATATAGTTTGTATGTTTTTGTTCCAGCGACGTCACGGAAATAGTAACCATTTCTAAATTAGAAATTTTAGGACATGGCTAGTTAGGACAAAACCTCTGATTTAGTTCACCCAAAAATGAAAATTAGCCCATAGATTACTCACCCTCAAGTCATCCTAGGTGTATATGACTTTCTTCTTTCAGACGAATCCAGTCGGAGTTATATTAAAAATTGTCTTTGATCTTTCAAGCTGTTTCATGCAAAAGAAGTTAAATAAAAAGCGCCCATCCATAAAAAAAGTGTCTCACACGGCTCCGGGGGGTGAACAAAGGCCTCCTGTAGCGAATCGATGCATTTTTGTAAGAAAAATATCCATATTCAAAATGTAATAATCAATTTATTGTAGCTTGCGCTCACTGTTGTACACTGGAAGCAGTTCCGGGCAGATGACGTATGGAGGTCGGCTTTGCGCATGCGCCGCTCAGAAGTGACGAATGCGGAAGTGCAGGGGAGAGATCAAAACAAAACAACGGTCACTTATTAGAAGTACAAAACGAGTATTTGTAAAGAAGAATGTCGGAGGATTTCGATATTAGACAAGAGGAGAGTTTTCCTTGGCTAAAGTTAGGAAACTTTGCTTCCTTTGCTCTTGTAAACAAACATTGGTTTTCACGAGACTCATCGGCGCATGCGCAACGCTGACCTCATACGTCATCCGCCCAGAGCTGCTTCTGTGTACAACTGTTGGCGCAAGCTACATTAAAGTGATTATTACATTTTTAATATGGATATTTTTCTTACAAAAACGCATGGATTCACTACAGGAGGTCTTTGTTCACCCCCCGGAGCCGTGTGAGACACTTTTTTTTAATGGATGGGCACTTTTTATTTAACTTTTGGACTGTTGCATGCAACACCCGCTGAGAGGCATTAAACAGCTTGAAAGATCAAAGACAATTTTTAATATAACTCCGACTGGATTCGTCTGAAAGAAGAAAGTCATATACACCTAGGATGACTTGAGGGTGAGTAATTTATGTGCTATTTTTTTTATTTTTGGGTGAACTAACCTTTTAAAGCCCCGTTCACACTGCCAGCGACACACAGCGACAAAGCGAGAGCTGGCGACTTCCATTTATGATTTAATGCATGAGCACTGCTGTAGTTTATATAACAACACTCTCCAACAGCAGAATGGTACTTTTATTTCTTTTAAGTCTAATTCCTAGTGATATTAGAATGATATCTTACTTTTACCGGCAATATATATAGTTTGTGATTGCATTTCCTAAAGATATGTCCAGACGTGCAGTCCACCAATAACATTAGAGCGACAGCAGTAGGAACGCCCACAAGCGTCTTCACAGCAGAGTCTAGCGACGTGTGAACGGGGCTTAACATGGAAAAGATACATTTTATCGCGCGTCGCGGCATCGCGTGTAGTTAGGACACGGTGTAAGTTTAATATAACAAAAGTTTGTATTATATTATTTATCATAATTGTCCTATAAATAAAAATGGGCAAAAATTAAATCATGCCAACAAAAACAGTTTGAGCAGCACTTTGATAATCAGAAGTTCACACACCTTGAACAGAAACCTAATGCACATCATATATTATAGTGCACAGATCAACATCTGGCGGCAACATTGTTATAAACTGTCTAAAGGATTTAAACGAGAAGCAGAAACAGCATTTTTCAGTTTCTCGGTAGTTTGTACATCATTCTAGGGAAATATGTAGTCAGGAACACTATCCTGGTGACCTTTTGAGGTCATGAAGTCAGACTGGGGGCTGGGGGACTTGTTTTAACGCGTCAGGTTTCCTGTGGTTTAGGTCCATCAAATTGACACAGGAGAGCTATGCTCAATGTTGAGCAGTAATTCGTACATGATTCATACCAAAGACACCTCACAGTGACTTTTACTGATAGGAATATTGGCGCTCCTTGTTTCAAAGTAGAAGAAGGTATGAAACCAGCATGAAGAATATTCATAATGTCAAACAGAGGACAGACCAATTTTTATTTTGCATTTTAGATTTTTAAGGTTTTGGGTGATAAAAAACATGCAAATAATGAAACACTGACTGCTTATCTAGCAGGGCCACATCATAAACTGGAAATAAAATGTGTGTAGGCAGTAGATTTAGTAATTTGAAGGGATTTAAATGAAAGGAACTGCTTTTTATTAAGAGGTTACCTGTGGTGCATAGGGAGGCATCATTCTTGCCTCTAGTTCTATGTTTAATGCACAGGGAAGACTGATATAATAATATTAGTGGAAACACACATGAGTCGACAGATTTATCATCATCAAGAACAGACAAAACACCACCACCAGAGCGGCGCTCATCACTCAGCAAGAACTCACCATCACTAAACAAATGCTGCAGCCAGCTGACCAGACAGGCAGAGTTTAAACAAATACAACTGCAAGAGGATACAGTCTTACTAGACCAAAATATTTGTTTTACTTGAATGCATAACACAAAATCCCTGCGTTGATTCAATATTGTTGTATTACAGTGGATATTTTGGAAATAAGCAATAAAATAGCAAACACAGACCAATTACGTGAAGCAGGTTCTGGTTTGGTGTGATCTAAGAAACATCTGTTCAAGCTGTTCATTGATAAATGCTACGTGAGTATTTGCACATTCACTTCACTTACGTATGCTGTTGTCCAAGGTTTTATATCTGTGGACTATCACATGCAACATGCAATACCCTGAAGAGCTGACAATTATCTTCGTATACACTCAAGAAACATGAACGAAAACCAAAAGATCCACTATGGACTTCTGTTTTCAATATCTGATTTACATTTGCATTCAATATACTGGATCGGTGTATTCAACGCTGCCATAAAAAGGTTATACATTTATGTCTAATAGAGGAAATGTTTGATGTGAGAAAACTTACAGGAATGTTGATTACATTCAACTAAGTACTTTCTGTTCTGGGCATTTCTGCTGATCTGATAGCATTACACTGTGAGGTCTAAAAGTCTGAAACCACAATCAAAATCTGGGGATTAAAATAAAGTTTAAAGCTAAAATTTCAAACAGACTGGTGGTCTATTTCTAAGTCACCAATAAAATAAGTAAATTAGTGTAAACAGTGAGATGTTTTTTCTTCCACTGAAGCACAAGATGCTTTTGATCACTCTTAAATCATGCTGCAGAACATTATCAAGGTTTTGTAGAAACTTTGAAGTTAATTAAGGGTGACACCAAAGAAATAATTTTTTTTTTTTTTAAAGTAAATTTATCTTTTTTTTCTTTAACTTTCAACTCAAATTGTAATTTGTAATGGCTTTTGGTGAACACTAAAACATAACATGTCACAGATACCTTTCAGCATTTTCACAGCCACCGTTTTGCAAGTAGAAATCTTGTCTATGCCAAATGCAGAGGCCTCTACAACTTTTCCAAATGCTCCATGGCCCAAAGTTTTACCTGTTAGAGAGAGAAAGGGAGAGAGAGAATCTGCATGAGCTAGCCGTGTCATGGGGGCTCATAAATCAGACAGGATGCCCTGTCAGAAAAGATGTGAGGCTGTAATTAAAACAGCCTGCTGAGGTTGGGACTGCTTTACTGACCCTCCACTGAGAATTCATGGAGCAGTTAAGACTGAACAACAGAAGCGAATTACTGATATTTAATGGCATAATATTTTCTTTTGAAAACGTAGACAATCCTGATGCCCACCGTTCTCAAACAATAGGTCTGAAAATTAAGGCAATTAAGGAGCAGAAAGAGCCAATTGTGTTGAGCTGTGTATGGATAAGTTTGTCTTTGTATTTTTCCCACAAGAAAGAACTCAATCATTTTATATCAAATTCTTCCAAAACTATGTCATGTTATCTATGCCATCTATATTGATTTTATAGTTCTATACTTTATGACAGCAACTATCTTACTTGTGGCTATTTTTATTTGTCCAAAGGCATTTTAAGAGAAACATCTGAGAAAAATGTACCACCTAAATGAAGCATAATATCTCTAATGAGTCTGATGAGCTATGAAAGAAGATATTTTGAGTCAGGAAGGTCTTGAGTTCATTCTTGTTTACATTGCAGTCAGAGGAAAATCAGAATTTTTAGTTAGTAAAAGTGAATGAAAAAGATCTTTGAACTCACCGAGTCTGAGGCGGTCTCTGGGGAACTCCCATTTGTTGCTGTCATAGGGCAGACGATCACACTGCTCATCAAGGGGCATCTGGTCAGGATCCATGATGATGGACAGGTACCCTGTCTTTAAATCTGCTGAACTTGGCTGGTAGAAATAAATAAATGTTTTTTTTTAATCAGAATATTCAGACAAAATAGAACAGGGTTCTGTAATTCTTCCTATGTAACTGCATGACTGTTGGGTATGAGATCATTAAGAGTTTTGAGAGAAGACCATGACTAAGTAGTAACAAAAATAAAACAACAAATCAAGACTGCATGTTACATAAGCATTAGTGTGCACTGTAGAACATAAAGTTTTCAGAGTAAACATAACAAAAGACTGGAGTAATGGCTGCTAAAAATTCAGCTTCGCCATCACAGGAATAAATTACATAAAAAAATAAAATAAAAATAAAATAAGAATAATTTATTTTAACTGTAAGAGTATTTTTACTGTAATCATAAGAGACTTATTTAAAAAATCTTACAGTAGTTCAGTTACAGTTTACATATAGTTATAATCAAGTCCTTACCTTTCTTAGTTTACGGATAAAGAGAATAAGCATTATCCAAAGAAATGTTGCTGCTGCTCCAGTAGACACTAAAATGATCACCTCAATATTTGGTTTACTGTCTTCTCCTGCATGCGGAAACAGCATGTTTTCAATTAAAGAGCTAATAATCATGTTTTTAATAATATTTCTACATGTAGTCACATACCAAGTATACCAAATACAAAACCACATTTCACAACATAAACTGGATTTGTCATGCCGTGCTGCTTTCTGCCTTTGCACTAAACTTGAGTCTGATCTGATCTACAATGCTTGTGCACTGCAGTGTTCCACTGGATAGGAACCGGCTCACTCACTTTCATTTATCATGTATTCACATACTATATACAGCAAAAGATATTTTGATTTTCAAAAGAGGAAGGAGAAAGAATTCAAACAACACTGCTCTCTTTGAATGTGTTTGGCTTGGGTTTGTTCAGTCAAGTCAAGCCAGTTTTTTTTCTCTTAACAGAATATAGAGAGTAACTGAATTTCACTACTGAGATGAGCGTTGCAGTTGGCTTTGAGGGGTGCAGGAACAATAACTTTTTTGGAAAGGTCCTTCTGAAATTCAAACCCTCTTCTTCTTTAAAGACATATCTCATTGTTCATTAATGAATATCCTTAAAAAATATGAAGAGGTCAACTCCCTTGTGAGAGGACCCTGACTTTTAACTCCCCCATCATAAAAGTCTGGAATTTGCATGGTATTCCTGGCAGCCTTAGTCTGTCGTTCTCATTCAATAGTTATTCAAAGTTTGGCCAAAAAAGGCTATTTGTCCTGTTTACATTAATTATATGGAAACTTTGATGAGATTTTGACAATGTCTGAATGGAAGTGAAAGTCCTAAAACAGGACAAATTGCACAGTTATTGACTGTTTAAGTCAACTGCACAATTCTTCCCTATATTATGAATGATGAATAAAGAAGTAAAGGCAAGTGAAGAGTTGGTCATCATCTAGGTACTCACCCAATACAGTAATGACTGCACTGGTTATTGCTTCCCCTCCATCATTGCTGGCATGACATTCATAAATGCCCTCATCATCCTTCTTCACCCTCTCAATGATCAGAACACCATCTTTTAGAGTGATACCTGAAAGCATTATAGAAATATACACCATTTAAAACAGAACAGATGCAGGAAGATCCAGATCCCTGATAGAAGGATCTACATATAAAGTCACTATAAAATAGCTGATCACTTGTGACCCATTTAGTTCTTTCTCACCTGGTCCCTCTGTGAAAGGAGTCTTGTTTTTGTACCATTTGATATCTGGTTCTGGCACACCCTTAGCCAAGCAGGCCAGAATCAGGGTGCTGCTGCTGTTCACACCCTGATTAGTCAGATTGTGCATCAGCGTGGGCCTTTGCCTCTCTGTGCCAGAAAATGGAGAGTTACATCTTGTTCTCATTAACATACCACACTTCTATAAAATTCTTTGATTATAGATATCAATGTAAGCAATTCATGTACCAGGGTGAATTATAACCTTTTACATCAACATAGTGGCTCTATTCTGATGACACTTTAGCCTACTCTACATTGATGAAATGAACTCCCATTCTTACTACTGCAATGCATTAAAAATTATGTATTAATTAAATGGTAACACTTTACAATAAGGTTCATTAGTTAACTACTTTAGTTAACATGAACTAAGAATGAACAATACTTCTACAGCATTTATTAATCTTAGTTCATGTTAATTTCAACATTTACTAATGCATTATTAAAATAAAAAGTTGTGCTTGTTATCATTAGTTAATGCACTGTGAATTAGCATGAACTAACAATGAATGACTGAATTTTCATTAACTAACATTAACGAAGATTAGTAAGCACTGTAATAAATGTATTGTTCATTGTTTGTTCATGTTACTTAATACATTAACTAATGGAACCTTCATGTAAAGTGTTACCAATTAAATATATGCTTAAAACATAATTAATTTAATAAATAAATGTAATCATTTGATTGTAAATTACTTTGCGTTACCTACAACAACTGTACAACTGTATCTGGATGTAATGAATTAAATTTAATAAATGCTAATTTATGTAAACAACTAGACAGTGTGATTTTAATTATTGTATTACAGTAATGAAAATAAGAAGTGCCTTATTGTCATAAAAACAATAATTCAAATAATAATGTTCAATATTATTAACATTTATTTCATAAATGTTTTTACTATAAATGTATATTTGATAATAATTTTATTTTTGTTATTATACATTATATTATAATAATTATATATTTTTAGAATTTATTGTATTGTATTGCATTTAATTACACTAATTATTAAGCAACCATACAGGCTCCTAATCATAAAACTGCAAGTATAACGATGACAACAACAACTCCTCTTTCTGAGATTCAAACACCAGAGCCATTTGTTTCTTACTGATCAGTAACATAAGCTGGGTCTTACATTACATCATATAATGTACGATGATGCTTTCATAAAGATGAAATTCTTTGGTGCTTAGTAGAAGAAACTCACCATTAATAGTCAAAAGAGATGTTGTATTGACCACTTTATTGGAGTTGATGTTTAAAGCCTGGCATTCATAGCCCAGAGTGTGGTTTCTGGAGACACTGGGCAACTTGATGGACAAAGATATGGTGTAGGGCTCGATCCAAAGAGAGGTTTCATCTTTGGGCACTATGCGGCCCAGTGGACCATACCAATGCAACTTGTCGTAGAGGTATCTTGTGCCTCTGCAGGTCAATGTAACGTCATCTCCTGCAACAGCTGTCGAGGGCCTAATCTCAAACGGCTGTGTCTGATCTAGTGAAGATAAAAAAAAATAAGACATTAAGAAGCAGGACGGAAAAGAACAATTCATTGAACATGTCAGTCAACATGATGCATTTATTGTGTGCTTTTCATGCATAATCTGTAAATCGACAATCAGAGACAGCGTGACTAACTCACAAACATATGGCTCATAAGGGACCTGAAATATACAGTATATGTATATATATATACTGTATACACATTACACACAAAGCTGTACACTGCAATGCCAGGAATATCAAATTTGCAGTTATTTCCTGTTTCATCACTCCTAATTGGAAGCACGTTGTTGGTGAATGGCGGCAGCGATGGCTGACCTGAAGCATTACAATAGGAACCAGGCTAAGGCCAGGCCTCCAGGGAGCCGGCAAAACGCTTGTTTATTCACAGCAATATACGTTCCACCAGAGGAGACAGCTGTTATTACTATTTCATCCCTCTGACCAGCATTCCTGCGCACAAAGACATCTTCACCTCTTGCATAGCACAGCATATTCTCTGGGGTTTTCTGTTCTGTTCCGGAGACATGCCACTTGACATCCACCATTTTATCTTCCGTCTCCATTTTTATTGCACAATTCTCATTTTTCATGCTTATTGAGTCTCGACTGATATTGATTCCAGCTAATTTTTGATCATCATTCTAATCCAGGCAAATTTGAATACTCTGATAGCTGACACACGCTTCATTATGTAACTCGGTGAATGGTGTGATGTATCCACTAAAAAGAATACACGTGAGACGGCACGTTTGTCTTCTAGCCACCACTTTACTGCTTTTCTAACTTCCGCCCAACTGGCGCCCAAACAAATTCCCAACATTCCTAGCGCTACTGCTACAGAATCTCAATTGTCTCAAATGCAAAATTGTAAGCATTTAATACATCACAAATGGGTTTACATTTGACCCTGGTCAGCTACATATATAAGTGATTCATTATTAAAACAGTAATTGGCATTCCTGTACCACAGTCCAATCCAGAGTATGTAAGCGGAGCAGAAGCAGAACGGGGAAGAAGCAGAACTTTGCCTGGAGTGAGGAGCTTTTTTCATGGCAAAATTGTTTCAATGCTGCTCAATCATAAGCATAACATAACACATGTTAACTGTCCAGAATTCAGTCACAAATCTGCCAAAATTCACCATGTGATAAAACACAGTGTTAATAGACTATTAGTAGTTGGGCTAAAACAAAGATGGAATTTGTGAAATATTAAAAATGCAAATTGTTCTGTGAACATATATATGTGTATGTATATATATATATATATATATATATATATATATATATATACACCCACACACCCACACACACACACACACACACACACATTCATGAGCACATAAACTGCAGTATTTTGAGGTCAATTACTTTGGGCCAAAATGAAGCTGAAAGTATCATTAATCTGGATTAGCAACCCCGTTTCAGCATTATGTAAAAGCTTTGGTTTTAAAAGTTTGACTTGCAGACATTTAAACTAATACATTTCCACTTGATTGTTCCATTTACAGTCAGATTGCATATTTTTAACTAACAAATCTTTAAAATTTTTAAAGGTACACTCAGTATTTTTTATGTAAGCAGTATGACAGTCATCAACACAGTATGACAATATACTGACACCTAGCGATGTGGATATAGCATCATGCAAAATTTTCATTTACCAATACCACTGAATCAATGCAGCATTTCCCATTAACCACTATGAGAGCAATTACATGAGTTGTTAGCAAGATAAAATAAGTAACATTTTGTCTGGTCATGTCATCTCAACATGACAGCTCCAATGATGAGACCTGCTCCATGTAAAATAAAATAAACAGCTACTCTTTTTTTCTCATGTGAGTGTGCATGATTTGAACACATTTTTCAAAAATATACTAATTTCTTTATGCATAAAACTTAATTAAGGGAACAAAAAGAAGTGCATCTTTGAAGGCAAAAAATAATACATAATAGTAATACATACCTTGTTTTTACTTTTTAATAATTCAACCATGTTGCTGACATCCTTAATCAGATTATGAGGATAATGGTTGTGTGATTCAGTGGCATCTCCAACAGGAAGAGGATCAGTGTAAAGTTTGCACCTATCAGCCAAAAACACACACATTTAGAGAAATCATAATTGTTGAACCAACATTTGTAATAAGGAATGATATTTCTGATAAGTTAACGTCAGATACTGCTCTGCAGTTTACGGAGGAAATTTTTGCCTTTTGACATCAAAGCTGGATGTACACAAGGAAATACCAAGGCGTACAGCCATAATCTTTCAGTGAATGCCCTCTACTTTCAGTGAGAAACTTAAAACAGGTCTTCCCTTAAAAATAAGAGGAAACTGCTGGGCAAATTAACTTGTTTAGCCAATGTCTTTCAGATAAGTTTATCTTCTGCCGTTGAACGTAAGGTTTCATGGACCCTGATGAATTAATTTTTTTTTTCTGAATTTGAGCACCATGTATCAAGTCATGTGATTTATGCCTTGAAGCCGCAGGGGACCAAAGACCTGTTTTGCATCAATCTGAGTGGAGGAACAATCGGATTACTGAGAGTCAGGGTCGGAGAGGAAACTGCAGCGTGACAGGAAGGGCTGAGTCATGCGTCACTGTTCAAAGGAAACACCCCCACTCTCTAGCCGGCTGAGATAAGGCTGATCCCAGAACTTCATGGTCAACATGGGACAGCTGATAACTTCTCAGCGCCCCTTGATTAAGAAGACCTCTGAGAGATCCTCTTCATGAGCGCAATAATGAGATCTCTAACATGGGACCCTTCCAACAAAACACTGATTTTATGGACACTTAGGCCCAATCCCAATTCTACCCCTTAGCCCTTCCCCTTTCCCCTACCCCTCCGTTTCACGCGTTCACGTGAAGGGGTAGGGGTGTCTCGATTCTCTTTTGGTTGGAGGGGTAGGGGAAGGGCCAGACAGTCCTTCAAACGAAGATTTTTTGGGACCACACTTCAAACGAAGGGGTATATCTCAGCGTAAACTGGCTTCAGCGGCAACATGGCTGCCCGAGCGAACAAAAAGACACATAAATGTAAGCATTTTTGGCATTAATAAATATTTTAACGAAAAGTAATCATTTGTTTTATGTTACATTCAATCGTGAGTTCATATTTACGGTCATGTTACTCAAAGAAATGTTTGCAAAAAATCGCTAATATTTGCTAACTAACATCATATCATTACAGACTGCACGATAGTTCCACAACATATGTTCATGTCTGATCAGGGTGATAACCACCATAGACATAGAGGGGGGCTAGTCCTCCCAATAATTATAAATCGCTAAACCCTTTTCTCAAATATTGCCAATTCGAGAGAGAGAGAGAGAGAGAGAGAGAGAGAGAGAGAGAGATGAAAGTTGCGTGTATGCGCGTCTGTGCGTTTCTCTTTTTAGAGTGCATTTACTTCAAAAACACCGATTATATCCTCTCGTTGCTGGAAAATATAATGTAGTGATTCATTATTTAAACTGTTATTAATAAAAGTTGTGGGGCACCGTTGACAAGTTTTTTTTCTCCTGGATGTGTGAGCTGCGCGATCTCCGATATATATATATATATATACATATGTATATGTGTGTGTGTGTGTGTGTGAGTAAGCAACGCATTAATATAGAACGGTAATTAAAGGCTCTAATGCACACCAGCACACCAGTATAGGTGTCTGTATTGTAGGAGCTAGACGACGTATGATGATGTGTGACGGCATAGTAGTGTTGTCCCAATTCTTAGGGGAATATTTTCACCCCTACCCCTTGACACTCTATTTCAAGGGACAAGGGGTAGGGGAAGGAGAAGGGGTACAAAATAGAATTGGGATTGGGCCTTAATGGCACATCGCAACTAAAATATGATCATGTAGGGGATTCACTCCCACAACTCCCAAATCTGGCAGTGTGAACGTGGCTACTTTTTCTTTTTGGTCACTTCTCAAGAAATAAATGAATTCTACTGAAAATAAAAGAATGGTTCTGTATTTTCTTCCAACTAGGGCATTGCAATTACCCTCCAATGTACCCCTCTCACTAGATGTTGAAAATCAGGACTTCTCACCATCTATATTATGAGCTGTTGTGTTTACTGCCATCGCTGATTATATTTAATACAGCCAAAGTGGTATTTTGGCACTGTGGTACAAAGCCCAAAGTATTTTTGACGCAAAATTGGCAGTACTCCTTGACAAATAATTACTCTCAATTACGAGAAAACCTTGTCATGACACACCAACTAAGTTTAGGGGACATTCGTAGCATCCATAAAGGTTCACTAAACGGCTGGCATTTACACTGCAATACTCTTGCTTTCAGCACAATGCAAGCCTGGGGAATAAGAACAATAAGTCGTCCTCACATTTACAGAGCCAGTGACTGCAAAATGTAGCTCTGGGGCTATTTTTCATCAATAAGCATACTTTATTTTGGACTGATGTCAAGGAAACGGATGCAGTTCATTTGAATAATGAGAGCTGTGGGTAAAGGCAAACATTTATCATTGATATTAACACCTCAGCAAGAGAAAAGATCTCCCAAGCAAGAGGATGACAACTGTTTATGGAACCAAAATTTGTAGAAATGACAAAAAAAGACTTGTTTCATATTTCATATTAAAAAAACATATTTCTGCTTTGACACAATGAAATGTGATTAGACGTAATGCAATCTTTTATCTGACGTGAAATACTGAACAGAAGACATGTTTATTCAAAGCAAATTTGAAAATGAACAATAACAAAAAAAACAGTCTTTTTTTTGTGTGTATGTATTATTGACTTACTCTGTAAGATCAGGTCTGGGGTCACACGGCTGCCAAAACCAGGTTATGTCTGGCATGGGAATCCCAAATGCAGTGCAGCTGAGTTGGTGCCCCTCATTATATTTGTAAGTTTGTGGGCCACCTGGAGCCACATCCTCCTCAAAGATCTTTGGCTTCACTGTGTGCACATGGACATACAGATCATCAGTCATTTAAATGGTCAGTCCGAGAAAAGAATACCAATCATTTGAAGATCATTGGCTAACACTAAAAAACTTTCACCTCATAACTCTAATATGGAAGAGTAAGAATATTCAGGCCTCTATGAACTTCAATACAGAGAAAATAGGGAGCAATATTGCCTATATAGATCTCATTTAAGTGCATCTGTGCTCATGATGGAAACAATTCTGAAGTTTTAGCATTAGGCAGATTTCAGCATTTGATGAATGATGCCCAAAAATAATTGCAACCAGAAATCTGTTCATTCTGTTTCCATTGTTTTTTACCTTGGTTTTGTTTTTGGGTCTGTAATGATGTCCAATACTTTGGTTCAGGTTGAGGACAGAGAAGCATTAAAATAAAGATTTTATATTAGGCCAGAGGAGGTAATCATACTTGTCTACATTGTTGGATAAAAAGTTTCCAAAAATTCAGGGTAAATCTGGTCAGCACATTATCAAAATCTTAGTTCTGTCAGCACATTACAAAGCTTTTTGAGAAGAGCATATCAATTCATCCGCTTACTTTGATTTCTCCCCAACAAATTAAAACATTTGCTGAAGAATCTGTTTGACTTCATTCACATGTAATTAAAATGCAAATAAAACTTTTTTATTTTGTTCTGTTAGCTATTTATATTAGTGTTTTATCTTTAGATGTGGAAGCCTTATTTGGTTCAGTATTGCGTGCAGCAGAGAAAAACCTCAGATGATCATAATCCTGTGCAGTTCATACAGGTTTCTGCATTACCTCTGACTTCCAGCTTGTAGCTGAGGTTTCTGTAGAGACCTTTCTCCTGGTTTGACAGAGCGATAGTGAAGATCCCAGCATCCTTCTGCCTCACTTGTTTTATGGTGAGGTTGTAGCCGGCTGTCTCATAACATGTGGAATTTTCTGAAATGGCAACTCCATCTTTGTACCTATACAAATAGGCAGCAGAAAATAATAAGACCCAATCAATACGATAATCATAAAATAAATTGGTCGGTTACTACACATCAAATTCCTTTCATGGCATCTGAGTCACATTTCTTTTTTTTAATGAAAAGCATGAATTTACCACAACACTTGGTCTGGTGTGGGCAAGGCATTGACCCGTGGCTCAAACTGCACCTTTCTACCCTCTACAGTAGAGATAAATTTGCGTTTATTATGGGTCACATTAAGGAATGGATGCTCTGTAGAGACAAATAGAAAAAAATCCAAGAATATATTAAACTTTTCTACAAAAGCAAGAGTGTGTTAAGGTAGTGGCACATCATCACATCCTCACCGTATACAGTAACTTTAGTTGAAACTTGATGCCTTTTCTCTTCATTTGATGCTATGCACACATATGTGCCCTTGTCCTCCATTGTCACATTAGGCACGGTTAATGCATTAGTCATCATGATGATTTGGCCAGGTTGGTCCCTTGTCTTGTTATTATGGTGAGTGCGATTGATCTGAAAACATAGACAGGAAGTTCAGATGATGTCAGTAAGGCCAAGCTTTACATAATGCCAGTTCAAATCAGGTAGTTGATCTGAATGTGTACTAATCTAGTAATCTAATACTGCATGTCTTTAGGTAAAACTTCAGCATCTTTAGCATCTTATCATCTCCTGATAACTTACCCGACCCTTATGGAACTGCCACTCAAATTCAATTCTGCCGTTGTAAGTGGTCTCTGCAGAGCAGTTGAGGACCAGGGTGTCACCGACCAGTAATTTTGGTCGTTCTGGCTTGATGGCAATGTTTTTCAGCTCCAACGCTAGGCACAGAGAACAGGAGGTACCAACATGAATCCAGGTTATGTCATGAAAAAAAGCTTTTGTAATTTTCAATCACAGATTTCAAAAGGTAATTGCGTAACTGGGATTTTCTCCTTAATTAAAATGACTCACTTAGCCTTAAAAGGATGTAGTCTGATGTAAATTGTTTGTTATCCACACTGGTCATACACGTAATCAGTTGGTAGCTGTCATCAGATTTCAAGGGAATCTTGAATCCTCTCTTTGGATCCCACTCCACCCCACTTTTTACATGATCTGCCATAGGATTCATCTGAAGAGCAAGAGGAGAGAATTTTTAAGCTTTCTTTAAATATAAGTGAAGGTTCTTTCAGTGAAGAAGGAAACAAGTTGTGTGAAGCTTTTACGGCCCATGATTAGTAGCCCATCCAGTAATGAGTAAAACAGGGCTGAGCTTGTCTGTGAAGAACTGATCATAGTTGAGTTGTATACCCCATTTCACTTCTTTTGTTTGTTCGGAGTCCAAGTGCCCTGCTAGGAACGAAGGGAAGGAAGGAAACAGGAAGGACGAATGCCACAGATCTTCCAATGGCAGAAAGGTCACATAACTATCTGTGCTATCTAGCTTAGAAGTGTTTATCCATAGCAAAGAACTGTGAGAAATGACCATAGACCCACTACATGGCCATTGTGGAAAAAACACCACCGTTGAAGTTGTTCACTGCCAGTGCAGTTTGAAGGACTGAATCTACTGCTGTAACATATTATGTAAGAAGCATCTTGCTAGTATACATAAAATATATGTATTTTTGTAAAATGTAAAAATATGTAAAAAAGTATTTTTTTGGTGAGCTGGGCCAGTTTTTTTCCCCATAACCTAGTCTTCATGGACATGATGTGTAAAAAAGTTAATTTATTTATAGCTTGAGTTTCTATTTTGAGTGAAAACAACAGTATAACACTACCTTCCTGTTCTTACAGGAAGCAGACAGAGTGTCTCCTTAGGCCTCCTTGAGCTTCCCTGAGCCTATGGCACACTGTATCTGAATACACATGCTCAGGGCTTTGATGGGTATGAGAAACTCTGAGACGCCCATGGTCCAAGGCATTCTTCAATGCCAGACCATACAAAACACATCCTATTTTTTCATTTTCAAGGCCTTTGAGGCATGGAAAGCAGGTAAAACATTCACCTCCACTGTATGCGGCCTTAAATTATATGTGAATATTTTTACACTCGGTTCAAAAACAGTGCCGCTAACATAAAAAAATACTCACAGTCTCAAGGATAACATGTTGATTTGGGGAAGTTGTTCTGCATGGGACCACAAAAAAAGGTTCATCCCGATATGCAAAAAGCAGGTGTGGTGAACTGTAATCCTCCACAAATGGATTATTGTGATCTGTGATTTAAAATTAAGCACAAAATAATACAGTAAACACAAAATAATAACAGTTTGCTAAGCACAAATCTAATTTACTGGCCACAAACACAAAAATTCATTAATTCACTTATGAATTTGAATGGCATTTTTAAAAGTATTTATTCTTTTATCAATGAATTCTTAGACTTCAGACAATGCCTAGACATCCATGTTACTGTACAGCTATGCTGTGAAATTGGTGTGATTAAACAAACAAGATCTTTTGTGTGCTGACAGTGTTCATGTAATAAAATATATTTTTAAACAAACTTATCTCGCATAAACAGTGGAATCACATAGTGAGATGAACCAGGGGACTATCAGGTACTAAATTGGCTATATATGCAGCAGGCCACAGTGGAAGAGGTCTGCTAAACAAAACAGTTGGTGAGCCAGAGACTTGGTGAGCTTTGTTGTCATTTTCACAGCTAAAGTTAGCACCGTCTTTTGCTAAAGATAAACTGCAGATCAGCTCTTTGGGACATACACTACCGTTCAAAAGTTTAGGGATGATGAGATTTTTTTTAAAGTAAGATTTTTAAAGAAGTCTCTTATTCTCACCTGAATTTATTTTATTAAACACCACAGTAAACACAGCAATATTGTGAAACATTATTACAATTCATTTTAATTATTACAATCTTTTTTGAGGGACATTAATAAAAAAAGTTATTGCACTTGCTTAAAATGTTAACAGCTTACACAGTTTTCGGGAGGCACAGGAAGACTAGAAGCCCAAAAATTATCAAAGACCAGGCTTCTAGAACAATCAAACTCTGTTTCCATCTCTAAAGATATCCAGCTTAATATATAAGCCTTGCTTTTTTGTGTCACTGATTTTCTATTTCCTAGTCTTATGACAGCTGAGATCTGTCTTGCAGATATGGTCCAGTTGTCAGTTATTCAAATCTTCTGAGTGCAGTAATAGCTGCATAGTTACTAGCTTCACTGCCCGGCTAACAGGTTTATGGCTTTTTTGTAGTTTCAGTGAAGTGAAGTTTCTCATTACTTCATTTCTTTTTTCCTCAAAATCTCTTCGAAATCTCTTCTGGCAATTAATTGGAAGGAAAGTGGCAAGTTCCTTGGTTTATCCCTTAGGGATCATTTCTAACCAAATACAGTGATGTACACATATATGATGTCAAAAAAACAATTTTTACTAAACCAATTTTTTACAATCTCTGGGTCTATGCTAAAAACAGTAGTAAGTATTTTTATTATCTTACCTTTAACAAAAACATATGTGGACACCTCATGATCTCTAGACTTTTGGTGACCGCCGCATGTGTAGAAGCCAGTGTCGTTGTGCATCAGGTTGTGTATGACCAGCTTGCTGCAGTACTTGTGCATTCTCTCCTCACACAGCTCAATCCATACCGATGACACATTTCTGTTAGCTAGCCTCCAGTGCAGGGAAGTTGATCCTCTAATGAAAGTCACACCATATAAATAGAACATTAGCAACAATTTCAAAGGCAAGTAGGCTTATGCCAGATTAAATAATCATTGCAGAGAGTATCTGCCGCTATTATATTGGGTTTTTTAACTTTTTACCACCAACCACATACAAACACATTCTGCAGTTTCTTTTAGTTTACTCTGACATTACAAACATAATCCTAAAAGTAACCAAAATAAATCAACAGCAGATGTTTTTGATTGGCATCCTGAGCATAACTTTAGAATTAAGCATAAGGAGGGTTTATAGAAAGACCAGTTTAAAACAAATCCTCCATTGACTGATGTTTCTGTGGTTCCTGATCACATTTGTTTTAAAGATCTGTTTCAAGATTTGTTTCAAGATCGCTTTCCGAATTACTGAAAATGAACTGAGCATGTCAGATTCCTCATCCATATTCTCAGCATATTCAAACGGGCTTATATGTGACCCTGCACCACAAAATCAGTCATAAGGGTTAATTTTTCGCAAAATAAGCTTTCCATTGATGTATGGTTTGATAGGATAGGACAATATTTGGCCGAGATACAACTATTTGAATATCTGGAATCTGAGGGTGCAAAAAATCTAAATACTGAGAAAATCGCCTTTAAAGTTGTCCAAATGAAGTTCGTAGCAATGCATATTACTAATAAAAAATTAAGTTTTAATATATTTATAGTAGGAAATTTACTAAATATCTTCATAGAACATGATCTTTACTTAATATCCTAATGATTTTTTGCATAAAAGAAAAATCAATAATTTTGACCCATACAATGTATTTTTGGCTGTTGCCACAAATATACCCCAGCGACTTAAAGGGGTCATATGATACGATTTCAATTTTTCCTTTCTCTTTGGAGTGTTACAAGCTCTTGGTGCATAAAGAAGATCTGTAAAGTTGCAAAAACTAAAGTCTCAAATCCAAAGAGATATTCTTTATAAAAGTTAAGAGTCAGCCACGCCTACCTAAAACGGCTCGTTCTAACACGCCCGCACATGTCTACATCACGATGTGGGAAGATTTGCATAACGCCGCCCAAATGTTCATGCAAAGAAAGAAGGTGTAACTTTTATTCTCACTGTAGTATTGTTGCCGCCGCCGCCATGTCCTGAAGGAGCTGTGTGATTCATTGTGAAAGCGAAACTACTTTGTTTGGCCTTCCAAAAGAGGACGATATCCGCTTCGTCATGCCTAGAGCTGATCCGTGCTGGTTGCTTAAAAAGACAGTATAAGTCATTATTATACATAATTATGTCCCCACTGGATGCAACAAATGCCTCGTTTATAATGGGTTTTCATGTTTTTGAATCATCGCTCCAGCCTGACAGGGCATCATCACAGTATGGTAGGGGCGTAACATTTCCGCATTTTCCACAGGCTTGATGTATTCGGCCAATCACAACACACTGGATAGCTGGCCAATCACAGCACACCTCGCTTTTCAGACCGATGAGCTTTGTAAAAATCGACACGTTTCAGAAAGGCGGGGCATAGAGGAGAAACAATAATGTACAGTATGTGGAAAATAATGTGTTTTTTTAACCTTAAACCGCATAAACACATTTCATTACACCAAATACACAAAATAATGTTCTTTTTAGCAACATCATATGACCCCTTTAAGACTGGTTTTGTGGTCCAGGGTCACATATTGGAAAGTTTTAAAGTTTCTTAGTGTCCCACTTTACACAGGAACAGGTATTTAATGGATGAAGTGTCTAAATTACATGTTTCAAACAGTGTTTGTTTTTAAAAGAGTACATAAAAAGGACCCCAGTGGAGAATCAGACTTATCTCATATACTGCTGCTGCCTCTAGACTGATGGGTCATGCAACTTCAGCCTCAAATCTCTGTCCAGAGCCAAAGACAGTATCAGCTTCTGGCTCACATGGCCTTCTAGGAAGCTTTACATTAGTTAAGCTTCTTCGGGGTCAGCATTCCTGGCATGACTGCAATAGCATGCAATGCTCTCTCAGAGTCCAAATGTGAATGTTTCAGATGCCCCCGTCCCCCTTCTCTTTCTGCTACATTTGGATGAGATAGCTATTTTGGGATTATACTGCCTTCTGAAAGCCTCTCATCCCATGTCAAAGCAAAAGCAAATGCATTTGGTTCTGAAGAGTGATGGTGTGAGATTAGTGTGCTTGGATACACACCATCTGCCACCCAAGTGCTTATACAGAAGAGATAGTTTACCCAAAAATAAAAATGTTGTCATTTATTCATTTACTATGTTGTTCATCCTCAAGTTGTTCCAAACCTGTATGACTTTCTTTCTTTGGTGTAATATATACAAAAAAATATTTATCATAAGATGGTTTTAAAAGGGCTATTTAAAATAATTTGGTAGTTTTATGTTTTTCTAAATTGAGTTAAAATTTATTCTGTATGTATATTGAAATGCTTACTGGTTTAATATCAATAAAATTAACATATTTTAGATTTAGTGTTTGTGTGAGGTGGGACAGCAGATGAGCACAGTACCTGCAGATGAGAGTGAGTGTGCCACCAACATGCTGAAGGTGTGTGTCTTCGGCAGGAAGCAGCTGTGGATCAGGCAGACGAGATCCATTTACCAACCCTACAGAAAGCATAATATAACACAACACACAATCAGTGACACACTAACATCCCAAGTACAAAAGCATCACAAAAGCCACAATGTGGTCAAACTGACAGCCTCCAATATAGTAACATAACATTGCAACAAGTTTCCAGGTTCAAGTTTCAACTGAACATTCTGATTCAGAATGTTATGCAATAGCCTTTCCGCTCCCATGTGGAACTCCAGAATCCAGCTCAGTGCAGTCTACTCTGTGCTGGACAGGTTTAAGCTGGTAGAGATGTGGAAACAGTGCATTTAAGCGTGTGTATACATTCTAGATCAGAGGAGGGAGGCCAGAGGTACAGCTGTGCCCCCCACGGAGGGGTCACCTCTGTCAACATGTGTGTGAGAGAACAACGCAGACCCAGATGAATCAGATGTCCTTAAACACATCCTTCACATCAGTCAGTCCCAATTTTCTGCCCTTGCATAATGCCACCTTTTTATACTTTGATAAAGAGCTTAATTTAACTCAGATCTCTTGAGATCTCTTCTGTGTGCTATTATTACAGTGAAGGTTCACTGCTGGTCTGGGGCCAGGTAAAGCTGATGATAGGAGCCATGAGTACGCTCGGGACAGGAAGCGGTGTCATTCCCTCTGCTGCCCAGGACGGGTGACATTTGTCTCATAAGTGATTTCCTTCTTTTGAACCTACTCTCTGAACGCTTTCTGTTGTGGCATTGTAACACAGGTTATTTGTGTTGCCAGGCAAAACAGTATTATTTAGATTTTTTTGTTATAAGAGCAGCCTTCTGGGAAATCTCCCCTGCAAAAAATACAATAGAATACAATCTTAGATCAGCACAAACTTTCACACTGGTTTTTGTTGTTCTAAATAGTGGGCCAGCACTGCAATGCTGATTACTAGTTTTTTGGTATTAAAGCACAATGCTCATGCGGGAGACACTAAAAAGCAGCACGATGTGGTGCAAAGATGAAAGACAGCTATATAGTGCACATTTACATTGAAAAAACCCAAAAAGAATTCAAAAGTAGTTAAGTGGAATACAAAAACATCTTTTGGGTGGACAGGTTCACTTTTTCATTATTTTTCTATGTATTTGCAGACATCCTCACTTTTTCAGTGCCTCTCACATGTGCATCTCATTCTAAAGTCACCATCTCAAGTTAAAATAAGTGTGAACAAACCATAATAGTTTCGGTAACAATTTGAGTTAGAAAAGACATATTTGATTTGTAGATTTACATTTACACACAAAAATAAAACACACATTAAAAATGTCTTTGCTGTGTGATGTTGATGTCTTTCATGAGTCATGACAAAAAGCCACAGACCAAATGGTGTCCAAATGGTGTCAAAGACAGTAACTTTATGCCTGTTTCAGACATAATTCATCATGAAATTTCCTAAAGCTCATATGTTGTACATTTTGTCCACATGTTTTATGAGTCATTACTCATTCTCACTCATATTTTAGAAACACTGTACATCTAAATCCATTAAATCAGAGTTACAAGAAGATGCTGCTCACACTGTACAACTGAGAGATATTAGTCTGAGTGAGTCAAACTGGATTTGACCGCTCTGAAATCTGTCTTCCACATTCTTATTCTTATTCTTATTCTTATTTTCCATCGAAGCCTCATTCACATATGTACGCCTGCATGAGCGGTGAATCACATTCTATAAAACCTAACAACTCTCGCTGTCTTCACAGCTGCCCTGTTCAGCAGGAGTCCCCCAGCAGCCCACTTAAGAAGGAATACTTTCTCATAAAAATCTCTTGTCTCTGTTGCTGTACACACATTATTCCCACAGCACACAGCCCCCCACCTGCCCCTGATGTCTGCCCAGTGCTGACCTTAGTCCGGCACTTCGCCCCCCCTTTCCGCCAGCTGTGTAATGCATTCCTCCCGCACAGAGACTAAAAAATGCCAAAAATGAGGCTTGTTGTGGTGTTTCAAGCGGCCTGGGACCTGGTTTCCATTAAAGCGTATTTAAAAAAAACAACAACCATGGAAGAATGGAAAAAAACACAGCGTTGATGCTATGTGGGTTGCCATATTCCACATGATTAGCCTACGTTCCTCTCGTGGGAACAAGTAAAAGACATGTCACTGTCAAAAGTTGTGCTCCTCCTGACTTCCTACAATCACTCAATCATGGTGTCCTAATTGATGTTTGTAGTTTTGTTAGGAAGAATAAGAGAAGGTTCATGTACAGAAGAGCAGAGGAGCCTTCACAAAGATGACAGGTTTAAATGTTGAGTTAGATGGGAGGCACAAAACACTCTCAAATTAAGCTGAAATGATGTGTGGGGTTTTCATGGAAAGTTGACTTTTGGAGAACTATAAATAATATCAGCATTGTGTTGTGAAACATTTAGACCAAAAACTGTTCAGTAGGGTGGCCCTTATTTTTGGACTTTTGAAATCTTCTGCTCTCACCCGCCCTTCATAAGAAATGGAAACAAAACACATTTCGTTGAGATTGGACTGCGGAGATCAAGAATAACAAAGAAGTTGCGAGTGTTCTGCCATTGCTGTGACACATTGCCAAGTACACTCTTAAAAATAAAGGTGCTTCAAAAGGTTCTTCAAGCGATGCCATAGAAGAACCATTTTTAGTTCCACAAAGAACCATTCAGTCAAAGGTTCTTTAAAGAACCATCTCTTTTTTACCTTTTTGTAATCTGAAGAACCTTCTTTTGCCACAAAGAACCTTTTGTGAAACAGAAAGGTTCTTCAGATGTTAAAGGTTCTTTATGGAACCATTTAGACAAAAAGGTTCTTCTATGGCATCAGGAAGCACCTTTATTTTTAAGAGTGTATGGTGCCCCATATTCAGAAATTGTGCTCTGCATTTAACCCATCTACACACAGCAGTGAGTAGTGAACACACACACACACACGGAACAGTGGGCAGCCATTTGACCAGCAGCCGGGGAGCAACTGGGGGTTTGGTGCCTTGCTCAAGGACCTCAGTCGAGGTTACTGAAGGTGGAAGAGAGCGCTGTACATTCACTCCCCCCACCTACAATCCCTGCCGGTACTAAGACTCAAACCCATATCCTTCGGGTTACAAGTCCGACTCTCTAACCACTAACCAGTAGGCCACAACTGACCCTACTTCTGGAGAAACAAAGGGGCAGTTGTGGCCTAATAGAGAGAGTCATCTGATATCAGAAACAGTCAAAAGTTTATCAGTGAACAAAACCTTCGCTAATATTACCAATCAGATCTTGAAGTACCTGTTGATAAAAAGATACATTCGTTGAGCATACCCAAAAAATCTAATTATCTGGATGGTATTTTGCATACATTACATACTTCTAGTGGAGAAACAAATGAGGGGGTGACAGGTTAACATTTCCAATAAAAAATTTTTACCCCCCAATAAGGGCCACCCTCATTCGTCCCTGGTGGATGTTAAAAAGCTGGAACTTATGAAGTCAGATGATGCTTGAATTAGATTTATTTAATTTTTTTTACAGATGTAATTCAATTTACTTGTGTACTGTCTTTTGTAGAGAGGATATCCTGTCGCTGCCCAGTAAGCGTTGGTCATAATATGCGGAATTCCCTACTCTGTGGCCGGTACAAGAAGACTGCCTGTGCTTCCCGTCCACCCGTGTGATACACAGTGCCCGGTAAAGCAGTCTCTGAGGATGGGGCAGGGGGGGAATCTTTTTTGGGCATACACAACAATAGAAATCTATTAATCATTTAACCTTGCCACAGTATCCATTGTGATTTCAAAGCTTTACAAGCAACGAAGGCTTCTTAATAAATAAAAATAAAGTCAAACAATAGTAAGCATGTCCATGGGCACAAAACCCAAAAGTCAGGCAACAGTTGCACGCGACCAATCACACATTAATTTCTTTCCTGTCTTTTTCTGAAGAAGACAAAACACCCATCTGGGACATGTAAAATCTATAAATAATGGAATTTTGCAAGACTGAAATTTAATATGAATATTTGTGACCTGTGCTGGCAAAATGAGTCGGAATGAGCAAATTTTCAAAAATGAGTTATCTTCATTTTCACATTCTACATTAAAATACCTTCAAAATGATATAGAACTTGTTGGAATCTACAAAAAATTACTGAGCTACAGCCGTTTGAAGGTGATATTCAATTTAGTCAATTTTGAGAAAAATCGAGTTAAAAGTTTTCTGAAGGTTCCAAAGCAAAATCACTGAGCAACCTTGCATATTTTCCTCCAATTATTTTCTCAATAATAATTACTATATTATTAATCACAATTAGGGATGTCAATTTTCGATCATTTCCATGACAGATCGTCATTTAAATTAACGATCAATTAATCGATTAATCGTTAACCTCAATGCTGCAAAATTCGTCTATGCACCCCGGCATGACAGGATGTGCAAAAGTTACTCAAAAAAAAAGAAAGAAACCGCTTTCTTACCCAATAGCTAGTAGCAGGATTGTAAAATGAATAGATGTGATTATGATCATTTGATAATATGAAGAGAGCTCGCTTGAGATCATTTTAATTTGTTGAGTGTTTCCTATCCCGACACGGAGACCGCTGAACGCGCCTCTTTTAATGGTTTCGTGGTGGTCGTTGTTGTATTTTAAAACACAATTGCAATGTTTTCAACTGACATTATGGCATTAAAAATAATATTATCCCAAACGTAACTGTGGCGCGTGTGGCTGTGCTGCAGTCAGTGAACCGCTTCCATCGGCGCTGCTGCAGCAAAACACACTGTTGCTCACATCAAACATTATTATGTGAGTATTATGACCAGTACTTAATTTGATCCTGCTGGATCCTGTTCCGGAAAATGTCAGATTTAAAATTTTTGCGTTGTGGTAGGCCTATTTGTTTTTAAAAATCCGGCATCTACAGTGCATTAGATCGTGACGGAGCGAGCGCAGGTTTGGCTAGATGCATTTGGAGCTTATTACTTACGTCTCATTCGGCACAAATCCAAATGTTTCCATATTCGCAATGTATTTGAATGTTAAACTATTATTTATAATGTAAACTAGGCTTGTACTTTACACACATTCGCATATAGACGGAAAAGATCATCCTCTTCACATGAGCAAAAACGTCCTTGGCATAACAGCAGAGTGGACCGGTATACTACGGTCTATTTAAACTGACCAGTGTAGCCTTTTATATGTTTGGTTGACTGTATTGTATTTTGATAATGAACAGACTGCGATGTAAGTTTGAATTGCTAGAATATGTGGGGTGTGTGCGCGTGAGGTGTCGGTGCGATCGAACAGCTGAAACATTAAAAAACTTGTTTATGGAGCGCCGCGCCACACTTCTGTTTCAAATCTGTTAGCTTAATGATTTAAGCCAGATATAGTTTGCTTTTTTTAATGAAAACAAATTGTTATTTTTATTAAGGCCTATTGCTTACATAGGCTATACATTTTCCTTAAAGCATCCCATTTTGTCCCAGGGCTTGAAAACCTGTGCCTAGGCTAGTTAGGTCCATGCAGAAACTTGTGAACGATGCTCTTATAGTTGTGGCATCACCGTTTAGTGACAGCATTGAATGCTCCGGGAAAACGTGTAGTCAGTGTCGGTCACAGCACCTTTTAATTGCCGTTTTGAATCCAGTAATTATTTATTTGCAGATTATAAGCTCTGATTATGACAAGTATGGTATAAAAGCTTTGTTTATTAGAGGAATAATTGGTTAGCTGGAAAATGTTACAT